TATGCAGCCACCACCACAGCAAATGCAGCCACCACCACAACAAATGCAGCCGCCTCAACAACATAGGCAGCCACCACCTCAACAACATATGCAGCCCCCACAACAACATTTGCAGCCACCACCCCAACAACAAATGCAGTCGCCAACACAGCAGTTGCCGCGGCAACACATACTTCAACCACCACCCCAGCAAATGCCGCCCAAGCAGATGCCACAACAGCAAATGCCGCCTCAGCAGATGCCACCAATGTCATCAATGCCGCCACAACAGAGACCACCACCAACACATCAACAAATACCTCCACCTCAGCCATGGAATCAAGGGCCGCCGCCGCGTGGAGATGTAACCGGCGTTGAACAAGGTTCCCACCCCATGCCAGTTATGTCGACGCCTTTAAAAAAACCTGTGGGTGGTAATGGTGGCAACGCTACTGGAGGCACCTCTGCTGCACACGAGAATGCTGGCGATGGCAGTGAATCTGATGAAAACGATGACGGCGAAGATAAAAACAAGAAGCCAACCGAAGTGGTGCTACCGAAGGCTTTAGAAGACGTTTTGGCATTAAAAGATCAACGCGCAGCAGAATTCCATATAAATTCGGAAGACTTCACTTCAAGTGACATAAACCAAGGTATTGCAGCTGGCGGTGGTGTTATTAGCAATGATTATGGTGACGCAGGCGACGATTCTGATGACGAGGCCGAGACTCAAAAGAACGGTGGAGTAGGTGGAAAAGCGGCCAAGCAAAGTCGTGCAGAGAAAAATAAGAAGAAAAAGCGTAGGAAGAAGCAGAATCGTAAGTTAAGACAGCAACGAGAACAGAAGAGAACAAATGGAGCACTTGATGATGGGGAAAATGAACACGCTGAAGAAGATGAAAATAAAGTAGAACAAGAACACAAAACTGCTGAGGCGAAAAAGGCAACAAATGAAAGGGATTCTGGAGATGAAGGAGACGGAAAGAATACAAGGTATAAAGAGAAAGACAGGAGAGACAAAAATAGGGACAGCAGGGACAGAAAGAGCAGGAACAAGGATAGGCAAAGAGAAAAATCAAAGGAAAAGGAAAAGAGTAAAGAAAGCAAAGCAGAAAAGAAAGGAAAATCTGTAGAAACTGAGGATGATGATGTTACTATCGAATATGTTCCGGAACGCATAACAATCGCTGACTTAGCCCCAATGTACCGGCAGTTTTACAGAGTTTTCGAAATTTTTAAACTAGAAAATAAACCAAAACCGGCTGAAAAAGACAAAACCGCTACTGAAAATGAAAGAGCAGCAGCTCCAAAGAAACCAGTCGATAAGATGCAAGACGAAGACGATGATGAGGAGAATGAGGTACTGTATCTTAAACGTTACTTTGTGACTTCATTAATAAATATACATATTTTTTTCACTGTTATTTAGGAACCCAAAGAGGACAAAGAAAAATTGTCGAAACGAAAACTCAAAAAACTTACACGCCTTAGTGTCGCCGAGTTGAAGCAATTGGTTTCACGTCCTGATGTTGTAGAAATGCACGATGTCACCGCTCGAGATCCGAAATTACTTGTGCAATTGAAAGCCTACCGCAACACTGTGCAAGTGCCACGTCACTGGTGTTTTAAGCGCAAATATTTACAGGGCAAGCGTGGTATTGAAAAATCACCATTCGATTTGCCAGCATTTATCAAGAAAACGGGTATCATGGAAATGCGTGAAGCTTTGCAGGAAAAGGATGATGCCAAATCGCTCAAATCAAAAATGCGCGAGCGTGTACGTCCTAAAATGGGTAAAATCGATATTGATTACCAAAAATTACATGACGCCTTCTTCAAGTGGCAAACAAAGCCGCGTATGACTATACACGGTGACCTTTACTACGAAGGTAAGGAATACGAGACGCGTTTGAGAGAGAAGAAACCAGGTGATTTGTCAGAGGAACTACGCATTGCACTGGGTATGCCGGTGGGACCAAATTCGCATAAAATTCCACCACCATGGCTTATTGCACAACAACGTTATGGGCCGCCGCCATCATATCCAAATTTGAAAATACCCGGTTTGAATGCACCTATTCCTGACGGCACTTCGTTTGGCTATCATGCTGGTGGCTGGGGCAAACCGCCTGTAGATGAAACTGGCAAGCCACTGTACGGTGATGTATTTGGCACCAACATAATGGATTTAGATGTAAGTAATTGTATTTCTTGAATAACTACATATTTATCGAGGATTTTCTTTGTTACAGAGCGGCATAGATGAAGGCGATATTGAACGTAATCAATGGGGTGAGCTGGAGTCTGAGTCCGAAGAATCTTCAGAAGAAGAAGAGGAAGATGGTGAAGATCTGGCTAACCAACCAGACGAGAGTGGACTTGTGACACCAGCAGAAGGTCTGGTAACACCATCTGGTCTAACAAGTGTACCAGCTGGTATGGAGACGCCTGAAACGATTGAGTTGCGCAAAAAGAAAATTGAGGCCGAAATCGAGGAGTAAGTTGCATGATAAAAACATATAAACTATATTTTTATCATGGTAAGTTGTATATGTTAAAGAAAAAATATTAATTCCCTCTCTTTGCACTGAAAATAATTACTTTCAATATCTTTCATTTCAGCAACGACACACCTGTTTTATATCAAGTACTACCCGAAAAACGCACTGACCGTTTTGGTGCTTCTATGATGGGCTCAACACACGTATACGATATAAGTGGCGTTAGCAAACCCCCAACACGTGCTGCTGTTACAGTAGATCGTGAGGGTACCGTCGAATTGGCATTAGATCCATCTGAATTGGATTTGGATAATGACGCAATGGCACAACGCTACGAGCAGCAAATGCGAGAACAACAAAGTCATCTGCAGAAGGAGGATCTCTCCGATATGTTGGCAGAACATGTGGCACGCCAGAAGTCAAAACGTAAACGACAGCAAGCAGATACAACCAGTAAAACAACAAAGAAGTATAAGGAATTTAAATTTTAAATTGAAGCTAACACTCATTTATATAAGAAAGTTAATATGAAAGTTGCCTTTGAGGGCGTTTACACACATATATATATATTACGCATAGAGCAGTGAATAAACGCTATATAACATTTCGCAGCTAATATCAACTTGAGGCAATTGCTGCCAATCGAAATGGCTACTATAAAAAAAGAAAATTATTTAAATAATTTTTTCTTTTATAAAAATTTAGTTCACAGTACAATAAAAACCATAAACTTTGTAAAAATACTAGGAAAACTCGATGGTTACGTTCTCTGTCATACAAAAATAAATTCAACCACTTCCAAAATACAAATCTAGATAAATTAAAATTATTTGGCACAAGAAATCGGTAGTAGAAAGGTACTACAAAAAGTACGCAAAGTATACAATTAGAAGTAAAATGTGTATTATTTATTCTATGCGATTTTGCAATATATTTGGTGTTTTAATGAAAATACTAAACAATACATAAATATGTGCATTTTTGATTTAAGTTATTCATCATTTCCTGGAACCGACCGTTCATCTATGCAAAAACGAAAACTGCAGATCAATAGAACTTTTTATGCTCATTTCAACCATGCCAAAATTATTTGCATAATTAATGGTAAAGAAATTTATATTATTTAGAAAGTACAAGTTATTATCTTTAATTCGATATTACATATTTTATCATGATGTACTTTGGGGTTTCTACAATTTAGTGATAATAAGAAATACAAATAAACAAAGCAAATAAACCTCTTATATCTTCGATATTTTTTGCCTGCGCCAAATAATTTTGGTATCGTTGTAATCAATTCTATCTATCGGCATTTTTGGTTATTTTATAGCTAAACGGTCCCTATTCTACACTCGTTCTAGAAAATTACGCAAACAAAGGTAATGCCAACGAATATTTAGTATGAAGAACTTTAGGTTTTACTACCAATATGACTAAAAACTATAGTCAGCAACATTCCGCACAAGTAAAGGAGCCGATTTTATGTGTGGGAGCGAGAATACTGTTTTATTACAAAATCTTTCTTTTATTGAATCATGCTCCCATAGTAAAAAATGAACGCATATATATTGTTCTACTGCTTATCGGTAGAGCTATGAAATTTTTACACAACATAGAAGAAAAAGTAACGATACTTAACACTACTACTACTACCTACTACCTACTAACCCTAACTAACTACTACCTACTTAACACGGATTTGGATTATGGCACTCTTGCAGCAAATGTGGAATATGTGCATACATATGTATGTGGACTGCGGGCGTTTCCTTATTTAAGTATCGTAATGTATTTTTAATGTGTCATGCACATACTTACAGAGAAATCGAATGGCTTTTTGCTACACCTCAGGGACGTAAAAAATTACAAAAATCAGCGAAATTTCAACGCTCAGCTGTTGTAGCACTTCATCGCGATCAGGAATATAGCTCATTGGATAGTGTTAAAGGTGAATTGGCGGACAGCATTAAGTGCCTTGCTCCTTTGGGCCTAACGGAACAGGTGGAATATAAATATTCAGTAAAACAATTGAATGTAAACTTATGCATCTGAATTTCAGATACCTTTCCTTTCGCTGGGTGCCGATGTTGGCAGGCGTGAAACCTTAGTAAGCGGGTTTTCGAAAATATCTGGCGAATTCCGCATTGAAGAAGTGGAGGGAAATGATGGCAAAATATTTCGGCGTTTGATTTTCTTGAGTAATCAATTTGTA